GAATTGTAGTAAATGAAATACTGTATATAAAGTGATATATAGAATGAAATAGATGTTAGTCAGAATTACTGTCACCATACTGTCGTCATCATAATGGTTAAGTCAGCTGCTAGGTGCTGGAAAGTCAGTACAGAGACTACTGGCGTTTAAAGGAGACAGCCACATCAACAAATACATACAGAAAGGGAGTCCCTGCTTAAATGAGGAAATAACCCAGTGGCTGAGGGACTGAAGGAGCTGTGAAAGCCCAATAATTCTCCCTTGCTTCCATATCACTGTGTATGGCTGTGGCAAGTGACAAAGAAAAATAAATGTTTTAGAAGAACCATGCTTGGATGAGGCAGCAGAATTCCTGTTTCATGGATCCAGGAATTCTAAGTATCTCATTACAATGGCCTTTCCCTGCAGATCACGGAGGCAGAAAGCCACTACAAAGATGTCTCGGTGCTGTCTGAGTCCCAAGGTGTCACTGACAGCTGGACCCAAGGTTTGAGCTGAATGTCACCAAGGCTGAATTAGAGCCAAGTGCAAAAAGAAAATGATTCCAGATGCTTCCAAACAAGGGCCAAGCAAGGCATCTTTCCTCCAGCTCAATGCTGAGGTTCCTAAGGCTGTGGGGCACTGCTGCATCCTCACCTTTATTTCTGTTGCTCACAGGGAAGGGAAAGTCTCTCTTCCTGATAGAGCTCCCTGCAGACAAGCAGCACCCACATTCTCCTGCCAATAGGTCCTTTCCATTCTCTGTTCCCACATTCTGACTTTTTTTTACTTTTCCAAGCCAGAGGTGCCTTATTCAATTGTTCCAAATAAGTCAGCCTGCTGGGAACTGTTGATGGAGGCTGATATTCCAGGCACAGGCATTCCAAAGCAAAGGAGAACCTGCTGCTCCAGGTCACAGAACACCCTTCCTTTACTAATCAACTTTTTTTACACTCAAGATAAATTAAGTTTTAATGGAACATAAAAAATATAATCTTCAATGTTTCTTCTTTCCATACTATATGAGGAGGTCCCAGGTGTTTTTAAAAGTCATTTTTTGGGGTATAGTATTTGTTTCTGAGAAATTCAAAACTGCTCTAAGTGTCATTTATCTTCCAACATCACTGTGGAGGTGGGCTTCCAGCTTCCCATCTCCTGGCCCCTCTGGCTGATAACAAATAGATGTTTCTTGTTAAGGGTGAATCTAATCACAGTGGTGCTGTGCTGTGTGGCTGCACAAGAGGCTGAGTGTGACAGATGGCTGACAGTGAGTGCCACATCTGGGAAGGGCTGACATTCACCCATGGCCACAAGAGGAGAGACAATGACCCCTCCTGTGACCACGTCCAACAAGAAAAGAGAAGAACTTCCAGCACCTGAAATCTGTAATAGGCTTGAGGAACAAACTATTAATTGAAACTCTCTCCTAATGCTTAGTAATTCCTGTAAGATTGCATTTGAAGGTTCTGTACTGTACATCAAGTTATGTACTGTACATAATTTCTAAATTAGCATAATTTAATTTTTATAATGTTAATATATATTTACTAGGACATCCAACAAGAACCTTAGCTGAAATAAGAGTAATTTTCTTCTATGAGAATTACTTGAAGTTGAAATCACTTTTGTTCTTTTCCTTTCTTTTTTTTGGAGTTGGAGTCTTGCTCTGTCACCCAGTCTGGAGTGCAGTGGTGCAATCTCCGCTCACTGCAACCTCTGCCTCCCACGTTCAAGCGATTCTCCTGCCTCAGCCTCCCAAGTAGCTGGGATTAGAGGTCTGTACCACCACACCTGGCTAACTTTTGTATTTTTAGTAGAGACAGGGTTTCACCAGGTTGGCCAGGCTGGTCGCAAATTCCTAACCTTGTGATCTGCTCACCTGGGCCTCCCAAAGTGCTGTGATTACAGGCGTGAGCCACTGTGCCCGACCCAAAACCACTTTTATGCTACAACTCAATAAACACCAGTATTCTAAGATAGGATTGGGGGAAAAACACCTTCTACAGTAGAGCATATCTTTTTATTTCTTTTTTAAAAATTAGAGATGGAGTCTCACTGTGTTGACCAGGCTGGTCTCAAACTCCTGGCCTCAAGTGATCCTCCCATCTTGGCCTTCCAAAGTGCTAAGATTACAGGTATGAGGCACTGTGGCTGGCCAACAATAAAGCATTTCTATGACACATTTGGGCTCCCTGGAACTGGAGCTCGCTGACTGAAGACAACATTAGAGAGTCAGAAGATAGAATCATGAAACCTTTGTGGAAAGAGAAAGTCCCATTTTAACAAACCAGCTGGGTCATTCAATACACACACACACACACACACACACACACACACACACACACACACTACATGAGTAAAACAACAACAAACAAACAAAAAAATGGAGCCTTAGTGTGCCTTTTTAAAAAAATGTACCAAAAGTTGCCATAAACGTTGCCATAAACAGTAAAACCTGAAGATATTTGAAAGTGGAAAGAGGGGTGGTAAGAAGGGAAGAGAGCTGTATTCACACGTAGGCTTTCTCATGGTCTCAGCCATCCTTCTCCTTCCTCTGTGATCTCCTCAAGCCCTCCGGTGCTCTCCCCTCATTGTTCTGGACCAGGACAGAGATTGACTCTTCCTCTCCCAGCATCAACTTGGCACTGAACAAAGAAGCAGCCCTTCCTAAGCATGCTTTCTACCAAACACATCAATTTACTAAGTGGATAAAGACTAGTAAAAATGTCTTTCCTACAGGATTTTTCTTTAAACATTATGAAACAATATTTTTTTACTCAAGATCCACAAAGTGCTAGAGCACGATTGGGGTTGTGTGAGAACCTCTGTTGAAAAGAGCAGAGACTGTATGTGCATGTGGCTGCCTTCATAACATGTAAAGATAAATGAGAATAAAAATAAATAATGATGACAAATGGCTGCTAACAGAACCAGAGTCTCTGGTGAGCTGTCACGAGTCAGCAGAAAATCACGTTCCTTAAATTTTATAAAATCAGTAATATTTGATTCTTCAGAAATACCTGACAAATGCTGAAACTAAATGTTAGTTCTCATTCAAATGCAATAATTTAAGGAGAGGCAGAGGGCTACACAATTAAAAACTTTATATTTAAATTTAGAAAACTAGTTCTAAAATCAGGAATACTTTCAATTATTGGATTAGAAATTCCTAAACTCCACAAAACTCCCATTTCATGTCTGTTCTTATACAAAAAATAAAAATTAGCTTATAGAAGACTAGCAGGTCTGAACGTCATTATGAAATACAGTTGACCCTTGAACAACATGGGTTTGAACTGCATGGGTCCAGTTATATGTGGATTTTCTTCTACCTCTGCCACCCATGGGTCAGTAAGACCAACTCCTTCTCTTCCTCCTCCTCCTCAGCCTACTCAATGTGAAGATGATGAGTATGAAGATATTTATGATGATTAACCTGCACTTAATGAATAATAAGTATGTTTTTGCTTCCTTATAATTCTCTTAATAACATTTCTTTCCTCTAGCTTACTTTATTGTAAGAATACAGCATGTGATACATACAAAAATATATGTTAATTGACTATTATTGGGAAGGGTTCTGGTCAACAGTAGGCTGTTATCAGATAAGTTTTTGAGGGGTCAAAAGTTATATTTCTTTTGCTGTGCAGAAGCTCTTAGTTTAATTAGGATCCATTGGTCAATTTTTGTTTTCATTGTAATTGCTTTTACAGTCTTTGTTACGAAATCTTTGCCAGAGCCTGTGTCCAGAATGGTATTTTCTAGGTTATCTTCCAGGATTTTTATAGTTTTAGATTTTACATGTAAGTCTTTCATCCATCTTGAGTTGACTTTTGTATATGGTGTGAGGAAGGAGTCTAGTTTCAGTCTTCTGCATATGACTAGCCAGTTTTCTAAGCACCATTTATTGAACAGAGAATCTTTTCCCCATTGTTTGTTTTGTCAATTTTGTCAAAGAGAAGATCATTGTAGGCTGTGTGGCATTATATCTGAGCTCGCGGTTCTGTTACATTGGTCTATGTGTCTGAAATGAAATCATGTCCTTTGCAGCAACTGGATGGAGCTGGAGGCCATTATCCTAAGCAAATTAATGCAGGAACAGAAAACCAAATATCACACAAAGAAGGGAACAAGAGACACTGGGGCCTACTTGAGGGTGAAGAGTGGGCGGAGGAGAAAATAAAAAAACTACCTATTGGTTACTATACTTATTACCTGGGTGATAAAATAATCTGTACACAAAACTTTTGACATACAATTTACCTATATAACAAACCTGCACATGCAGCCCTTGAAACTAAAATAAAAGTTTTAAAAAAGTTATATGTGAATTTTCAACTACGTGGGGGTTTGGTGTCCCTAATCCCCACATTGTTCAAGGGTCAACTGTACATAGAAATGAGACAAATCCATTTCTAAAACCATTTTACATCTATTTTGTATCTTCCTTTACTGTTTAATTTCTGTTTTTGGTGAATACTCCCTTGTATTTTATACATCCTTACAAACTACCTTAAAATATTGCTAGAAGGAAGAGAGAACAAAAAACAGAATATACCCAACAACACATTTGTAGTGAAAAGAAGTCAAATTAAAGGAAGCACTTCTAGTTACAGAGACAGCTAAAGAGTGGTTTCTTTGAGGGCTGGGGCTGGGCTTAGGTACAGTTAAGTAGAGGAGCTTGTTGACTTTTGAAGCATCTTCCTGAACTGAGATTCTGTTGAATGTACTTGCCTGTTTACCAAAAGATATGCACATTGTGTTTATTAATCAACAAAAGTATTATAATAGGCATCCCGTAAGCTAAGGCATCCCTTAATCAATAAAATTATTGATATATAAATTATATTAATAATTTATTATAATAAAGATGATTTGGGGATGGGAATGACATGGTTTAATACAACTTAACCATGCAAATCTCTGCTTCTGGTGATCATTTTCAAAGACATGTTGCAAAAATAGGGCTACTGCCTATAAGCCAAAGTTGTGTTTCATCATATGACAGTCCCATAACTTACCATGTGTGCCCGGAAAAATGCGGGAATGAGGGACTGGTTGCATAGGTTGAGAATCCTGGAAGAGTCTTGGAGGACGTAGATACTGCCAAAGTCCACTTGACTGGGATGGATGTAGATAACTGGGCCTTCTCCAACGCTCTTTAAGTGACATGCCTGAGTTCCACCAAAGAGAAAGAACACAGGAACAATTGGAAATGGCTAGCCACTTTTAGCCATTCCTTCAGTAAAAAGCAAGGGCATATGAGGGTGCTTATGAGAACTGGCATCCCTTCTCACTGGTGTTCTGTGGTCTCAGGAACACAGCCTCCAGGCTGGACTTCTTCCCCAGAAAGGATGAGCAGCTTCCCAGGTCAGCCCAGAGCCATGCACTGAGTGGAAACCAGAATCTGGGTCCCTTATCCCACACAGCACTCCAGCCCCAAGAACACTTAGTACTAGGTTAAGGGTCAGTACTTCAAAGTCAGATATGGCTGGGTTTGAGTTCCAGTTCTGTCGCTTTACAAGTGGTGTGGCAGGGCAGGGCCACTGCACATAGTTGTACAGGTTGGGGACTGAAATGCACTTTGCTTTGTTCTCTTCTCCTTGTACCCTGAGCCAGGCACTGTGTCTGCCTGAGGAAGACGGCCCTTTTCTTTCATAAAGTTCTGCCTGCTCAGCAAGCTATCCTTTCATGGGCTGCATCTGTGGAGGGAGCTGAGAGTGGGGTGGGGCACAGTGAGCCTTGGGGAGGGGGAGCTGAACTGGTGGCATGATTTGGGCTTGGTCTACCCTGGTGATGCTGCTTTATAAGTTAAGTGGCTTATCTACAGCATCTTATATGAAGAGGTAAAAGCAAAATCCTAGTGTTTTATGCACTCTAAGCAATCAGAATCACATCAAAGAAACATAAGCTGACATCACTAGTTCCCAAGTAAACCACATATCTAAGAATACAGAGCCTGTTGGGCAACCTCCTGTAGAATTCAGTGTTTATCCTTCAACTTAGCTTAAGCAATGGAGAGCTTTCCATGAATCCTTCTTTGTCTTGGAGAGGGACTATTTCTCTTAACAGCTTGACTAGGCTAATATGGGGTATGAGTCAAGTCAATACACAAAAAAAGTTCAGATGAGCAGTGAAGTAAACTGATCTCCCAGCCCACATGTGACAAACTAGTGATACCCAAACCCAGCTTTGCACCAGGAACAACTAAGGAGCTTGTTAAACATACAGATGTGCTGGGACCCATACAGATGTGCTGGTTCCCTCCTGTAGGAGATTCTCATTTATAAAGACTGGACAGGGGTCAGGCATGTGTGACTGTGTGTGTGTATGTGTGAGAAACTCCTGGTACCCTGTTGGGTTTAAGGACAATTGCTATAAAATACCACTTCTGTTAGATGTGGCCACAAACAGATTCCTTAAAGTCACATAGCACTGGTATTTTACAACTGCAGAGAAGAAACATAAAACCCTACAACTGGGGCACATGTGAATACAGTGTGGGCCTGAAGTGAGAAAGTGCAAAATGTTTGAGAAGAAGCACAGCAATTTCAACTGCAGTTCTCGAAATGGACTCTCACCAAAGGGGGGTCCTGGCTCCCAAAGATCGAGATGTAAACTGTGGACCTGTGTTTTCCGGTGACCTGGGTCTCCAGGGCCAGCGGTATATGGATGGTGCTGTTGGCCGGGATGACCCCGCTAGGGGTGGGGCTGGAAAGCAGCACAGCAGGTACATCCTCACACACCTGGCGGAGAGAAAATCGGAGGGGTAAGGACAGCACAGCATAGAACAAATAGCATATTCACTTATTTTGAAGTGTTCTCCTGAGTCCATAGAGGCCCTTTAGAAATGCCTTATTATTCAAGCACGTAAATGGGGAATGAGTACCCCAACTCAGCCAAAAGGAAATCTCGTTAAGTGGGGCGTGCATGAGGCCCAAAATTCAAAGTGCTCAACACAGCAACATGCAAAATTTTCCACAACACAAATAAGTTCAGGGCAACAGCTTTCCACTTTCCTTTCCACTTTCCAAGTTCCTTAATGTGGTCCTCTGCACCCCTACGTGTCATCCCCACTCCCTCACCCTTTGTGCTCCCTCAATAGAGGCCGCTGGTATTTCTGGAATCCATGATGCCGCTTCCCACCTCCAATCCTTTGCACTTGTGGTGACTCCTTCTAGAATGCCTGTTCCCGTCAGCCCATCTGGCACACTCATCCTGAATTCTCCCCTGGTTCTTCCAGGGCTCTAGGGTGGGAACATTTCCTCTGTCCCCAGAGAGCATCCTGTGCAGTCCTTGTCCACAGCATGCACTGGACAGCACCATGCCACATGCATTCCCGCTGACAACTTCTTAGCATACAGCTGGGCCTCTCCTCTCTACATGCCCACTTTCTGGCCCAAAGCATAAATGCTCGGTTTTTAAAATGAGGAATGAATGAATGAATGGACAAGGGTCCATGTTGACTAATTTGTATTTCTCAAAACCCTGTTCTACAGCATATTACCAGCTTTTATGCAACAAGAACACAAATAAAATTTTTAAAATTCCATTGTATAATTCTGGGAACCATTTCTCAGAGCCTCTGCTGCTCTGGAGGAAGACAGAGTATGCAGGTGTCATCTGCCTGGAGCACCCCACAGTCTTCCTGCATCTGGTCTGGTCTAACATGGCCCACTCTACCTCCTCTTCCCCGTGCCACAGGGCTCTGATGAGCCTTATTACAGCTTGAGATCAGACTGGTCTATCTTTACCTAGGTTTTAATATCTTGTTCATTATGGATTTTTTGAAATTATTTTTGATTTCTTACAATATGTCATGAAAATATTAGGTATCCTGACTGAGTGGTTGGCTTCCCTTTAAATTGTGGCCAGCCCTGCTGTGCCGAACTTCCCCTGACCCCAGATGCAAGCTCCACTCTGAGTTCTTGAAATGACCATGCACGATGCAGGGTTGGGCTGGCTGCTGCAGAGCGTCTGGCTGTTAGACCTTGTCTTCCATCACCCCCACCCTTGGCTGGTTCTGTCTCAGAGAAACCCATAGAATCATTTACTTCTCTCTTACATCACAGCCATTTACAAAAGGTGTGGCAGGGCAGGGCCACTGCACATAGTTGTGCAGGTTTACAAGTGGTGTGACTTGTGAAAGGTAGCTATGTTCTCCTAGCTAAGTCTATTCTGCTTCTTTAAACACACGCATGACTTGGATTTGCAGATGCCATGGATTGTCATTCTGGTTATTTTGCATGTGATGCTTTACTTTTTTCAAGTTTCCATTAGAAAAATACAATGCCATGATCTGAAGACAAACTTCTGGCTGTGTCCTGACTGGTAGCTATCTCCTTCCTTAACCTGAATGCGTAGTTCTCTGCTGCAGCCTAAACCTGCCTTGTTTCTGTGGCCTCCATATTGCTGTTTTATCTCCTATTGATCTTGTAGTCAAATAAACCCGCATATGATATTTTCGCATACATTTAAATCAGAATATTGTACTTACATAACTGAGTTTTATACCCAAATGCATTCTTGGCAAACTGCAGCTCAGTAGTAGCCTTCCATTACTCTAATCTGTACAGATTTTTAAAAAACTGTTTAGCCATCTGTGTTAAACTGCTTAGTCTCCCACCTAGCTGGGTGTAGTGGCATATGGACAGACACATTTCATAAAACATGAAGAGACAATTCCTCCTTTCTTATTCTTGTATTGTCTCTAGCTTTCTGGTCCAACAAATCTACTTATAAATATTGCATTACTTACTGATGCCATTCAAATCACAGCCATGGACATAATGAAAACTCCTAGCTCATTTCCCATGCATGGTTAGTTCACGGGCAATTATTTGCAGGTGCAATTCTGCATGTTGGCTTAATTGACACGTTCCCTTCTTTATCCAGGGTAATTTCCCAGGGAAATTAACAAGAGTTTACACCTGCTGCTGCTCGGGCATGCAGATAGCAATCCAACTACGACTTTACTACCCCATCCTTAGACTATCTAAGGGTTAAAAATCAGCATTACTTAAGGTGATGTGTTCAGGAATGTGGCACTTCGGAGGGATTTCTCTTTCTCATCAAGGGAATCCAATGGAAGAATTAACACTGAAGAAAGAGAAAGGAACTCACCTGAGGCTGCACCTCATAGAATCCTGGGAGGTCATCTTGATTGGCAAGCTGGAGTGTTTTCTTGTATGGGTACTTCAGGAAGCAGTGCCCAAAGTCCACCTCTGTGCTGACCAGGTAGAGGGCAGGTACAACACACCTGCTCGGAGGAGCCCACGACACAATTCAAAACAGAGAGCTTGTTTACATACAGAGAACACAGTGTCCCAGGTGAGATACATTTGTCAGTGTCACATAGTAGTTTTTCTCAAATAACCACAGTAGTCGCTTTCAAAGCTTCTCTCCTCCTGTCTTCCATGTCTCTTGGCCCCCAGTCACCACTTTTTAATCAAAAAAGGACTAGAAGCAGAATTCCTTGAACAGCTGTCTGGTGGGTAATGACTCCTACTTCTATTGTTTTAGATATTTGGCCTTCCTTGGGCAAAGGGTCCACACGGTACAGGATCCTTAGGGTAGTGAATCTGTTTCCATGCTAAACAGGGCCAATGCCACCAGCATGGGGTCCTAACCAGCTGTGACACTTTGGACCAGTCAGAAAGGCCCCCAAGGACTAGGGACAGCTCACACCATCTAAATAACAGTAAACATGCCAATTCTTATGCAGAACAGCTGTCTTGGATACAGAAGCTCAGGCGGCTGCTCCGCCCAGAACTGGCACTGTGACTGTGACAGGGTTCTCAGTGTGCCGACATGGCGGGGGTGAGGTGGAAGGAAACGGAGGGAGGGCTGTATGCAGGAAAGAGAGGAGTTGAAGCCCTGTGTTTGCCGTTGGTGCACTATTGGGTAACCTGGGTTTTATTTGGTGTTTGTGAATCTCAAGGTCTAACTTATCCCATGCCATTGTTTCAGTACAGTGCCACGGTGAAGAGTACTGGCTTTTGAATTTGCAGAGCCAGCTTCGCAGACTGATCTTACTAAGTACGATCTGTGTGACCTTGGACAAGCTGCTTTCTGTCTCAGAGTCCCATTTCTCTCATAGGACAAATGAAGATAGTTCTAGTGATTGATGTTGGTGTTATAAACTCTTCTTAGGGTGTTGGAGGGGCACAACCCAGCACCAGGTAAGTGCTCAGTAAGAGGGAGTGAGCCTGTGGCAGAAGCATGGCAGGACGTCACTGCCAGCTCTCTGGAGAGAGTTACTGAGGCTGCAGTTCTAAAAGCAATTATTCTGTTAAGAGTCAGTAAGTAGTTCCTACAGATTATGCCAAAAATCAGAACATGAAAGAGCCTTTATTTTAACCCCAAAGTTTACACATGAGATGAGTGTTCATTTTTAGCTAGAATGGAAGTTGTCTGTTGACCCAGTGATTTTCTTAAAGCTGATCCTTTATTGCCTGAAATACTGTGACTGAGAGGGCTTACACTATTTGACTTGGGTCACAGAATATAAGTAGAAAACTCATAGCCTCTTTAAGCCTTTTTATGGTTTTAAATTTAGAATTTCTATTGATAACTGTAGGGAAAGGAGCTGGAAAGTATCTGAATAGCCTGCATAGGAAAGAAATGCAAGACTAGACTAAAAGGCAAACCTGGGCACAGAGAGGACCACATTAGAGTTTTTACTGTTTGTAAACAAAGAAAAAAATTAGGGCTTGCAGGAATACTAAGTGGGTCAAGGCAATGTAGTGGGAACCCTAAGTTATTTCTGCACTGCTGTTTATCTTCACCCAAGCCCAAGACACGTGAAATGGTGTCAGTTTTCTCTCCACCAGGCAGCACATCTGCCCCTTCTTTAAAGTAGGTATCTTCCTAAGATTCACAAGAGATCTGAATTCCAGAGACTGACATATTAGCATGATGATCAGTTTTACTAAGTCATGGTCTCTATTTCCTATATATAGCATTTTCATACATGCACCTTAAAGTCCCAGATCTGGACACGGTTTGCTTTGGGAAGAGTGTGGCCCCATGATTTTATTTAGGATCACATCATTATCAGTCAATGACACAACCACCCTCATCAGCAATGACTGTAGGTTGGTTGAAAAGACACAGTCAACAAATGGCTGGGTCATGATTTCAACCTGGCTGACTCTCTAAGAAAAAGAGAGGATTTGGAGGCGGTTCTGAGGCATGTACATTGTTAAAAATGAGTCTCATCTTGGGAGCCCACTCCTAGCCTGCAATTCAAGTCACAGCAACAGTGTCTTGGGGCAGGGACCTCTTGGCTCTACGGACCTTCCATTACAGGACTGACAGCAGCATCTTTGCTGCCTAACTCAGGGGCACTATATTCAAAGATGAAAATCAAAACCAGCAGCTCTTCAGCACTTCTTGCTAAAACCTTTCTGGTTGCATTCTTTGAAAGTCAGACTCATTAGAGAGGGTTGACCTATTTCTTCACTATTCTTAGTTTTCTTTGCCTAAACTCTACAAAACACACACACCTCTTCTTAATCTCTACCAAAGGTGCTTTACAAACATTTGCTGCTTTGTCATTTGAATATCAGATTCAACTTCCCTTCCCAGGAAGGCAGGATAAAACCAGTGTGCTTGGGTTGGCAGGCAAAGCTGCCTTCTGGGAAGCAGCCCGTTACTGGACACTCAGGGGAGACTCTGGATAAGAGCAAGCTGGGGAGAGATACCTTGCTGTAATTAAGAGTGCCAGCACCTCTTCTCCAATGCCCTCCACGTCCACCACCAGTGCCAGCTCATATTTCTGCACAGTGTTGGAGCATAAGGTCACCTGGAAAAAAAAAGTTGACAAGTTGCTTTTCTAAAAAGCAGATTCTCTCTCTACACAGGGGAGAGGAGCCCCGGGAGGACTAGTGATCAGTGTGGTTTCTAAGTGCTTTACGGATATATGGCATTTCACATTGTTAGCTGAACAAGTTACACTGTAGGGTCAGGGCATGCTGGGTGTTTTCAAAGGCCAGGGTAGAAACCAAATGGCTTTTAGTATAATGGCTTTGCTCATTTCTGAGGAGGTTTTGTCAAAGAAGCCACATACCTGCATAAAGGGAAAAATGAGCATGAACGATGAGCAATATTAAACCAACTTTAATTACTGCAATTTAAATTGTTCCCTGCCACTGGGCTATATGAATTATGAAAATGTAACACACTAATGAAACACTATAGCGCAAGTTCTCTTATAGTAAAATAAGTGGAAATAACCATGTCAGTTCCAAAAAATGACATAAGAATTAATCAGATAGTCTGCTTTACCAAAACTGTGCCTCCACCACCCCACAGTCTTTATTAGAGCAGAAAATAGAAAGTGCCAAAGAACGGTCTATTTGAGGACAATAGAACGTGGTCACAATATAAACAGATTTCAGAACTCATCGCTACTCAGGTTCCAATTCTAGCAAGTTGGAGTTAAGTAGTAATGAATGGCACGGACAATTCCTTCAAGAAGCTTAGCAGTTGCTAGGGAAGAATGAGGGTCAAGTGAGGCTGTTGAGGGGGGTGCTCAGAACATTTTACCCTGTGTTTTTATTTGCTGTGAAGCTGTACAATTAGACTTTCCAAAGCCTTTTTGCAATTTTTAATTGCTTCAAAATTATTTGTGCTGGAAGAGATACTTGCAAGTCTAGAACATGGCTTCTGGCATGGGTGAAGGCTTTTCTATCTATAAATTATGTATCTGGTACTAATTAACATGTTTTCTGTTGCAGAGGGAATCACTGGATGCAAATTCGAGTCCCCACAGACCTGGGGAGGCACAGATCAGGAGGAAAATCTATAGCTTGGAGAAAGCTTTTCTAAATATAAAGGAAAAATAAAGTGAAGATGAAGTCATTGATTTGGAAAGAAACAGAGAATCCTAGTGTGACTGTAGCCCCCTGTTTATGTATCTGGGCTGTGGCTAGAAGGAAGAACAAGTGGTTTTGGCAGAAGGCTGCTAGTGAGACGCTGTATCTTTTAAAATCTTCCTGAGATATCTGGGAAGCAACAACAACAGAAAAGATAAGTAACACATACTCTGAGTATTAGGAAGTGAGAAGGAAAGAACTCTAGTGCAGCAGCGCTTCTCACTCGGAAAGCCACAGTTAGCAATCCTGAGATGTTACGATCTATGTTATTGAGCCTCACTGGGCCCGTGGAGGAGCCAAAAACTCCTAGAAAAGCTTTAGGATGAGTGAATTCAAGCTGAGGTATCATGAGGCATTTACAACCAATTTGGGGGATAAAATGATAACCGGTTTAAATATTCAGTGCTAATGACCAAAGAGAAAACTACTACCTTTAGCTACGAAGTCTCATCTTTTTAAAATTTCCCAGGAAGTAAAAAAAAAAAAAAAAAAAGTCAATTTAGTAGCCTTCAATATTGCTACACCAAACTGTTTGGAGGAGCAAAAATGAAGGAAGACAGCTAAGACGGAAGACAGTGAGGGATCCCTCCACTGGTGGCACTGTGAGGCCACAACCAAGGCACTGAAGTGTCCTTATTGCAGACAAAACATGGAAGAATGAGGAAGTGGACTTCTCATGGAACTGTTAGTGCTATCATACCCACCATGAAGCCCAGATTCAGATTACAAAGCTGAATAAACTGGATATCATCTTTGGTGTAAGTGTGGCTATTTATTGGTATCTAAGGGATCTGAGTCTGAAGGAAAGATAAACCTAAGTATCAGTAAGTTCTGAAATCTGTTGCTATTAGTACCGATGGGTGTACTGTCTGGGTATCAGTGGTTTCACTAGAAATACTGAGAACTCACTCTTCTGATAAAGGCAATGCATCTAGATTAAGGTAAAGCTACTGGAGCAGTGCCAATTTCCTTGCCCAATGTATTTGTGTCTGATTTATTTCCTTATAGGCCCACTTTTTTCTGTAAGTTGACAGCCACCCCCTCCAGTACCCTCCTGCTGGCACTGGACATACTAGAGCAAATCCTAGATGAGGGACCAGTGGCTGTTTTGAAGGTTCAGCTGCTTGGCTGTGTGTGGAGGAAGGCCATGCACTTTACCCTGATAGTAGCAAATCCCTGGGGGCGAATAGTGCCACAGTCGGGCGTGATGGTGAATTCTTTTGGTTTCATTGAGGATGTTTCTTCCTTGGTCCAAGACGGTCTTTTGTAGTCTGCATGCTGCTCACAACATGAAATGCTTTTACGGCCAAGGCCGTCCCCAGGGACACGCAGTTTGAAAGCCATGGGGACCAAAGAAGTATTATTGAGGGAACATATCAAGGTTTGAGGAAACCCTGGAAAACAAAATATGAGGTGAGAAATAAAAGCCCCCCGATACCTCCTTTGACCCTCAATCTCCCCTAGCAACTGCTAAGCTTCTTAAATGAACTGTTTGTGCAGTTCATTACTACTTAACTCCGACTTGCCCTAAGTACTCCATCAATAAATACATTTTCATTCATTACTGTATTTATCCATTCATTTATGCATTCACTTAATGAATATTTATTATGCATTTACTATGTGGAGGTTAAACAGCAGATACAAAACAAAGCCCCTGATTGCCACCCAGGCCCTTCCAGAGAGGCAGCCTCTGTCAGGAGTTTACTGAGTAGTCTTGCAGAAGTATATTTTGCATTTATTTCTTGCACAAAAATATATATTTTTTACATGGAATCATGCTTGCTTTTTATTTGTCCGTGTGTGAAAGAAAAAGCCTATGTGGTTTTGCCCACTGGGTGACCCAGAGCTTGCCAAGACATGGTAGAGTGTGTCTTGGACCTGCCTGGGGATCACGCTTTTAGGGCTGATGATACAGTGTCAAAAAATAGCCTCTACCAAGAGAGACATTACAAACTGCTTTAGAGCTGGCCAGAGACTAACACCTGACTTTACCTCACTAAGACAAACCTTTGTCATCATAGCCAGCTTTGTTCCTTGAAACTCCTCCCTGAAGAGATGTGGATCTTCTTTGCTTGGCAAGCAATACACTAAGCTCTGATTTTCTTTCTTTTTTTTTTTTGAGACAGAGTCTTGCTCTGTTGTCCAGGCTGGAAGTGTAGTGGCATGATCTCAGCTCACTGTAACCTCCACCTCCGAGGTTCAAGTGATTCTCCTGCCTCAGCCTCCCGAGTAACTGGGATTACGCATGTTCGCCACCATGCATCACCATGCCCAACTAATTTTTGTATTTTTAGTAGAGATGGGGTTTCACCATGTTGGCCAGGCTGGTCTTGAACTCTTGACCTCAGGTGACCCACCAGCCTCAGCTCCCCAAAATGCTGGGATTATAAGCGTGTGCCACAGTGCCCAGCCACTAAGCTCTGATTTTCTATTTCCTAGGTGGCTATTGGATCTGATACCACTTTCAGAACAAGAAGAATGATCTATAGACACAGGAGAACAAAACTGCATATTTTTACTAGATGGAAATGCTATCTTCTACCTTGAACCCCGCTGTAACAAAATGCACTTGGTCTCTTGGAGTAATGACTGCTACTGTCGGAGGTACTTTGAGTTGATCTACTTCTGCCCCATGTCTCAACTTTTGTCTATACATTAGGCCACTGGAGGAAACACAACCATGTACCTTTGTGATTACGCACCTGCCAACCTACTTGGAGGATATCTTTCATGGAAAAAAACTGTGAGACTGAGTGCACTTTCGGGTTATTCTTGGAAATTCCAGAGGAAGTGCTAGAAAGTCAGTTTCACAATCATGCTACATGTGACTTTCCTGAACTTACCAAATAATGACTCTTGAAACTATAGAAGGCTTACCCTTATTTGATCTGACCACTTGTGAGTTAGATGTTCTGTGAATGTGGAGTGCATTATGGAAAGGGGGTTTCTATAAAGATTCAGGTGGGTCTTCCATGCCGTTGCCCAGACTACTTCCTTAAAGCCAGAAGTTTTTCACAGAATAAAGCCAATTATGACCTCCTAGTTACAATAATTCCTTGTGCTAGTACCTGTAATATCCCATATTGCTTGTCATGAAGCCTAAAGGAAGGGGATGTTGATTTGTTAAAGACTGAAGGTCATAAATAGGAAAGTTATTCCTAGGTTTCTCCTAATACTATTCTATCTACAGTTCCACCTGAATGCAAGTGCTTTACAGCTGTAGACCTCTATGCTCCCTTCTTTTAACGTCTGGTAGACAAAGAAATCAATATTTATTTGCCTCTCTTCAAATAATTAACAACATAATTGCATGGAATGTCTCAAGGATCCACAGAGGCACCTGATATTTCTTCCAATAGTAGTAAACGATTTAAAATACAACATTCTCAAAAGGTTCAATTCTCCTCCCAGATGCTGCACCTGACCTAAAAAGCCCCTGGGAAGACTTGCAGAAACTAGCAGCTGAAGGTCACAAGGCTGCCAAGGAAAAATTACAATTCTTTAAAAATATAGTACATTATTTGGAACATGACTGCTCTACTAAAGAATGGACCCTATCTAATCAGAATCTTAAATTGATTCAGCAACATGCAAGACAAAACACTAAATTATAATTGAGAGACTTTGGAGATTCATGGAATATTTTAGGGAATGGATTTTTATTTTTCTAATAAAGTAAAAATCTCCACAAAGCAAAGGGAACTGTGTTGGCAGATCATTATGCAAATCAGGTGGCATGTTTGTCATTGTCCATAGAAATAATTCAGAATATGGGAAATCAATAAGCACATACACCCAATTCAGTTTGGAAATATAAAATTTAGCTTCGGATTTAGAAAACAAATGTTGCCTAAAATTGGGAAACTCTGTTCATTCCAATGGTCTCTGAAATACCAAATATGCCCCTGAATCTAAGATGGTCTTTGACAAAAATGTTTTACCAGAGGTAAAGCATCACCATCACAGAAGAGAGGAAATAATCTCTGAATAAGAATCGATGGGAAAATGTCTCTGCAGCTGGTGACGTGGCTGGCTCCTGTCTCACATCCTGCTACCATATCCACAAACATTGGACAAGTGGGATGTCAGTCTCTGGAATATACGTGGACTGGGCCCAAACCACAAAGTTCAGAATATGTGCCTGTAATTAACTGGACACTCTTTGGATGGGTTTGAGCCTTTCTGTACAGAAAGATCACTGCTATGACTGTGTCTAAGGAATTGTAGACTATAATTTTCCCACCTGGGGAACGTCACCTTACACTACGAGAGTCAAAAAGAATTCTATAGTATGTTAGCCCTTTGATAAAAAATTTCACAATCCATAATTTTGGGAAATGTAGGGCATAAAAAGAGTATTCTTGATCTTAAGTTGGCCCAGTTCTCAGAGGTTCTCAGATTCCTTGATGAAGAGTTTTACCTTTAGCTCTGATGGTCATCAGATCTGGTTAGCTCCCTCAGTAACTCATAGACTATTCACTTTATGAAATAATAACTAGAAGATTCATGTGATCACAAGTATTTCATCAATCTGAATCAAACTTGCTTCATGCAGACATAAAAAAAAAATATTGTAAGAACCAGCTCATCTGTAAGTTCAAGAAGATTTTCCTAAAATCCCACCCTCAGAAGCCCTCCCCTCTTTCTACCTGAAGAAATGAGTACACTGAAAAATACACCAGTATTTTCAGTATTTTCTTTTTCAGAGCCTTCTAACAACTGACCTTGCAGTTAAACTGTGAGGTGGACCTCTGAGGAAAAAGATGCCCATAGAAGCTAAATTACTGGCTGAAGACGTGTTGAAAAATACTCTCACTGGAGATCTTAAATAGAGGTTTTCTAAAAAACAAAAAACCTTCAGAAGCAAGTGACCTTCAGAAATAGATTGCTATTTCAAGTCTCTCAGAACAAGCAGACGTTACCCACAGTAGATAGCTTCTGCTCAAGACTGATGGGATGAGATTTTGTCAGATGCCTGACGTTGCTGCTTCTCACACTCTCCCTTGTGTGATTTTGGTCTTTATCATTTCACCACATTACTCCTTGTTTCCTATCTTAAGGTTATACAATTTTGATACACTCTGTGACGTCTCTCTTACTTTCTAAGATAATTCTATGATCATTAAATCCGGTTTTGCCCCCGACTCCCTCCTTTACACCCTCCTAGGGTCAATTTAGGTATTTCCCCTTGAGCCACATACTGCCAGTTCATATCAGTGCCATGGAAGAGACACCAGTAATGAGTCCTTCAATGCTTATGTTTATCTGAACAACTCTGTCACCAAATCCCAGACAGGTTATCATATTTTGTAATAATTTCTCTGTCCAAATTATCCAATGTCTGAGTTCAATAAATGCTCAGAGGTTTTCAAACTCCTTATTCTCATTCAACACATCCTTGTACCTCCAGAAAAACAGTGGGTTTGCAGATATTTAACTGACCCTTTAGTATATCAGCTACCATGCCAGTTGTTACTTGGTCCATTTATTCTTTGACCAATCCAAGGATTCATCTGTGCCTCAATGTTCCTTCAAGTACAATCACCACCCAATTCTATTAGCTGAGTCTCTCATGCTACTGCAGCTGTAGTCAACAGAACTAATTATTGGGTATGTGATCCAACATCCAATCCTACCATCAAAAATTTTTATAGCCGGCCGGTCGTGGTGGCTCACACCTGTAATCCTAGCACTTTGGGAGGCCGAGGCAGGTGGATCACGAGGTCAAGAGATCGAGACCATCCTGATCAACATGGTGAAACCCTGTCTCTACTAAAAATACAAAAAATTAGCTGGGCATGGTGGCACATGCCTGTAATCCCAGCTACTCAGGAGGCTGAGGCAGGAGAATTGCCTGAACCCAGGTGGCGGAGGTTGCGGTGAGCCAAGACCGCGCCATTGCACTCAAGCCTGGGTAACAAGAGTGAAACTCCGTCTCAAAAAAAAAATTTTTTTATACCCATGGAAATTTTAGAAACCAACATATAGTACTATTACCCACCACCCGCTATCCCAACATCAACAATCCCAATAGACCCTGATGCAAAATCTGTATCTTGAGTGCCAAGCAAATAAATGCCACATCTCCAACACTAATCTATAACAGACTCCTCTTTAGGAATGGAATTTAGTGCCAACACAAGGATAATACTGTCAACTTCAGTTAGCTTAATGTATTCCCTAGCACTATATTAGCCTCTGCAAACCTTTTTCCAACCCCACACAATATGTCTGCCATTCTGAAATAACTAAAATATTCTTCCAATTCTTGGCTCACTGCTAGAACAATCAGTTACACTTTTGCATCAGGACCTATATGCATCCCTATTAGTCTTTTATTCCTGAGCAAGCTTATGAACTCTTCTGTTTCATTAATGCCTTACTACTTGCA